TCAGTCAGTATGACTGGTTTGTATACCTTTGAAATACTGGTTTCCACCAGGGGAGATGGCATATGCCTGTAATCCCAGCAGCTCAGGAGGCTGAGGCAGGAAGATCGTGAGTTCAAAACCAACCTCAGCAATTTAGTGAGGCCCTAAGCAACTCAGTGACATCCTGTCTCTAAATAAAAATACAAAAATGGGCTTGGGTTGTGGCTCAGTGATTGAGTGCCCTAGGTTCAATCCCTGTTCCCCACCCCACATCCCCGCCTAAAAAAAAAAAAAAAGAATTGGATTCTAAGTTAGAAGCACCATAAGGAAAAACAAGTCAGTGGGTCATATGATTACAGATTTGATACTAATAACGAAATTCTCATTGCAAAATGGTTAGATAATAAAAATGTCATTCTTGGACCAACTATGACCAGATGAAACTACTTGGCAAAGTTCAATAGTGGAAATAAAAAAGAAAGAGTAGAGCCAGTGTGCCTCAAACAAAGGCAGTAGGCACCTGTAACAATCTCAGTGGTTATGCTATGGACAAACATGATTGGTTGGTTTCCAAATATTCCACTTCTATTAGAGGTAAAAAATGGTTTTGGCCTTTGTTCACTCGAGTAATTGATATGTGAATCATAAATGCATGGATTATTCACAGAATTGTGAACAAAGATGAAGAAAGAACTCATAAATTTGTTGGATTTCAAAAGAGACATCTGCTTAGCATACTGAAAGGATGCAATGAGAAACCATCATGAGGAAGAGACTGTTATACTCCTAGACCTATTAGTGTCCAAGATGATATCCTATCAGTTGACAAGAGCAGCTGTATTACTCTCAAATGGCAAGAACAATGATGATACCAAAATGTAATGTAACCCTTTGTTTGAAGTATTTGTTCCTTTCCACCAAAATTAATTGTTTAAGACGTCATAAAAATTGCTTCTTTGTAGTGTATTATTTGTAATGTATAATTTTGTAATGTATTATTTGCCAAATGTCCTATTCATAAGATGGCTTATATATGTAAAAGATACTATATTGTCCCAGTGTCCTATATGTAGGAAAATGTATATTTTTGTTCTTCGTGATAATAAAGGCTATATAAGCCCTAGACTATGATTTCCAAGCCATTTTAATGCACCTTTGTCAATGTTGTTAAAATATTTGCAGATTTGAAAACTTGGGACTTAATGGGTTAAGCTCTCCATGCTTCAGAGAAAAATGTATGGTATACAGCAAGTACTATGTGTTAGCTGGTATTATTTCATTTCTACCTTTTAATGAAATTCTCTTTAACATTTTAATAAAAAGTTCTATGTGGTTTTTTTCTTTGTTTGTTTTTTAAACTTTTTAAAACATTCTTTTTTAGTTGTAATTGGACACAATGTCTTTATTTTATTTATTTTTTGTGGTGCTGAGGATTGAACCCAGTGCTAGGCAAGTGCTCTACCACTGAGCCATAATCCCAGCCCTATGGCTATTGTAATTTCTTAAGTTTCAGAAACAATGCTTATTTCCCTGATATCCAAAAGCTTTCTGCTTCCCTAATCCTTAGAAAACTTTATCCTCTATGATTTCAAAGATCTAGACTTTCTTGGTTATTGCTTTAAAGAAAAATATCCCTCCATTTCCTTGAATTTGGGAAACATAAGTACTCTTGCCAGAAATTTTCTAATTCACTAGTTTTTCCTGATGTTCACTAACACTTACTAGCCTGATGTATCTGTTTTTTTTCATTAGTTCTCAAGGCTAAACAGGCCTAGAAGAATCTTTTGGTTCCTTAAAACCACCAATCATCCCCAAGGAACCAGCAAAAGGAACATCATATTATTGTCCACAGGAACCCTGAAAAGACAAAATTATCAAAATAATCAAGACTTCAACATCACAGCACGTGAAAACATAATTTCGATTCAGTACATACAAAGAACAAAGAATCATACAGGAGTTGAGAATATTGATAGTACTTAAAGTTTGGGAGGCTAGGGGCTGGGGTTGTAGCTCAGTGGTAGAATACTTGCCTAGCAAGTGTGAGGCACTGGGTTTGATTATCAGCACCATATATAAATAAATGAACAAAATAAAGGTCCATTAATGTCTAAAAAATTTTGGGGGAAGGCTAGGGCTGGGGATGTAATTTAGTTGTACAGTGTTTGTCTAGCATGTGTGAGTCCCTGAGTTCAATCCCCAGCATTGCAAAAAACAAACAAATATATTCCTTCATATTAAAAAAGGAGGAATGAGGTAAAATAAACTGAAGAGAACAAAACAGACTAAACTATTATTATTAACATTTGAAGGGTATGCTTTAGGGAACTCGGGTTTATACTAATGTTTCTCAAACAATCCACAGTAAAAGAATAGTTATGGGTGTATTTTTCTTTTTCTTTCTTTTCCAATTTATTTATTTATTTATTTATAAATGGTGCTAAGGATCGAACCCAGTGCCTCACGCATTCGAGGCAAGTGCTCAACCACTGAGCTACAACCCCAGCCTCTTTCTTTTCTTTTAAATATTTTTTAGTTGTAAATGGACCAATAACTTTATTTATTTATTTTTATGTGGTGCTAAGGATCTAACCCAGTGCCTCATGCATAATGAGGCAATTGCTCTACCACTGAGCTACAACCCCAGGCTTGTATTTCTTTTTGTATAATATAGAAGACACATCCTACCAATGTCAAATGCTTTAAAAGTTTCCAAACATTAACTCTGAATAACAATTATGAATGAACATTTACTCAAGGGCTTGGAACAGTTTATAAATCAAGACTTTATGTGGATCATTCTATTGGTCTAGATCATTCCCTGGGCTCTTCATTCCCAACTCTGCCTTAAATTCATTTCATCTTGGCTAGCATCTGTCCTGCCTCTAAAATCAAATGATGGTATGGCCCAGAATGCTTGGCCTTAGATAGACCACAAAGCTTTGACCTTGAGACCATGTGTTCATCACAAGTCTAAGTAATGAACCTAAACTGCTGGCTTGCCTGGTGCCTAAGTGGAATTAGAAACCGGAGTCCCTATAGTGCCAACAGTGTCATAGCATCAACTATAACTTCACTTTTTACCTCTTATTTTCCTGTCTTTATCACAACCACCAGAAAGTGAACCCTGTCCAAAGTGATGCCTCTTTTCAGAGGCCAGAGACTTATCTTTATTTACTACTACTATTATTTTATTATTATTATTATTTATTATTATAATATATGTGTTGCCAGGGGTCAAGTCCTGGGCCTCATGCATGCTAGACAGATGTTCTACCACTGAATGGCATGCTCGCTCCTTCAAGACTAATCTTCAATAGAAAAAATATTCTCACCCTAAGCTGCCACTCCACCAAGTCAGTTCCTGTGATCATCTCTGTAACAGGATGTTCCACTTGAAGCCTTGTATTCATCTCCATGAAGTAGAAATTGTGCTTTGAGTCCATAATAAACTCCACAGTGCCTAGAAGATAAAAAATCAGTAGCATATCAAGATCTTCCATGATGTAGCAAATCAAGTTCTATGGATGTCTCCATTTAATGGTAAACATTTTGCAGCAGCAAATGAATGTCAGTTAAAATAGGGAGCTGCATAAGATTTAGCAATGGAAAAGTATATTTGGGGCTGTGCCTAAATTATGAATCAGTTTCAGCTGTTGTAGTGAGAGCATGATTGGACCATGTATTACTGCACTAGAGGACCAAGATCCTCAGAGCCTCATGGCAGGACATCCCACCTCATTCCAACTCTGGAGAAAAATACATTTTTTTCCCCTGATTGTGGAAGTTACTTGGAAGTTTCCTTTTGCAAATGACACACTGAAAGGTAGTCTAGCAACTAAGCCATATATTAATGTTTTATCTATTAGCACTCCTCCCCCTTTTTTTTCCTGCCGTGTTGGGGATCAAATCCAGGGCCTCAAACATGCTAGGCAAGCTTCCCTTATATTTATTAAGGTGATATTTTAAACAACAAACTTTAATTTAAGTGTAGGAATATATGAGGACTCTGTGAATTTCTATTCAATTTTGCTGTGAACTTAAACTGCTCTAAAAGGTTGGGGAATGTAGCTCAGCCTAGCATGCATGAGGCCTTGGGTTAAATCCATAGCAATGCAATAATGAAAAAAACAAAACAAAACAATAACAACCCCAAACCAAAAAATTACTCTAAGTTTATTTTTAAAAGAAGAAAAAATGGCACCAGGTATGGTGGCATGAGCCTGTAATCCCAGCGCCTTGGGAGGCTGAGACAGGAGGATCTTGGGTTCAAAGCCAGCTTCAGCAATGGCAAGGCACTAAGCAACTCAGTGAGACCCTGTCTCTAAATAAAATACAAAATAGGGCTGGCGATATGGTTCAGTGGTCAAGTGGCCCTGAGTTCAATCCCCAGCACCCCCCCCACCTCCCCTCCAAAAAAGAGCAAAAAAACGAAGTCAGTAATTTCATTTAAAAATAGACTAGAGGTCTGGGGCTGTGGCTCAGCGGTAGTGCACTTCCTGACATGTGTGAGACTGCGTTTGGTTCTCAGCAACACATATAAACAAATAAATAAATAAATAAAGATCTATCAACAAGTAAAAAAAATATTAAAAAAACAATAGAAGGGGCTGGAGATGTGGCTCAACTGGTAGCGCGCTCGCCTGGTGTGCGTGCGGCCCGGGTTCGATCCTCAGCACCATATACCAACAAAGATGTTGTGTCCACCGAGAACTAAAAAAAATAAATATTAAAAAAAAAAAAAAAACAATAGAATAGAAGGGCTGGGGTTGTGGTTCAGTGGTAGAGCACTTGCCTAGCACATGTGATGCACTGGGTTTTATCCTCAGCACCACATAAAAATAAAAAATAAATAAAGATATATAAAAATAATTAAAAAATAGAACAGAAAATATCAAAACTTACCATATATAATCAGGACAAAAAATGGTTAGTGAAATGTTTGTTTCAAATATATGTATTCAATCACAATCATCTATGTGTGCACACTGGGTCTCAATTTAAAATTTTTTTTTTTTTTTTGGTGGTGCTGGGGATTGAACCCAGGGCTTTTTGCATATGAGGCAAACACCCTACCAACTGAGCTATGTCCCCAGCCCTAAAGTATATTTCTTACTGTGGATATTGTCAAAGAAGCTTGAAACCACTGATTTAAATATTATGTTTCTTTTTCCTTCTGATACAAAGATAAATTACTTTTGACTCTTTGGTTAACATACCTGCTCCAACATAATTTACAGCTTTAGCAGCTCTGACTGCAGCTTCTCCAAGTTTTTGTCTTACTTCAGGTTTAATACCAGGCTATGAAAAAAATATTTTAAAAATATATTCTTTAGTACCTTTACTTACTAGAAGTTCCACTAAAATGTAGTATTATATTTTAGGTATAGTATTATATTTTTATCTTTATCTTTTTAATAACTATATTAAAAAGATAAAGATAAAAAGCTAATGTTATATACTTCCTCAAGAAACACTGTACCAGTTTAACTGTCATTATACAAAAAGTTAATAGTTCTGCTTGTGATTTCTATGAATCTCAGGTATTACTCAGCATATTTGCTTACCTTTATGCCTTGCATGTAGAGAATAACTTTTATAACTACATGAAAAATTTTAAGTATTAATATGAAAACTTTCAATGACCCTCATATGACTTCAGAATGACAGAGTAATCTGAATCATGTGCCAAATGATTTCTTGAAATAAAAGGAAACCTTAAAATTCCAAACTAATAAACAAGGTTCACAAAATGAAATATATTATCAGTAACTAAGCAAAGTTTTTTTAACATTTTAAAACAGTGCTCTGTAGGTATACATTTAAGCAATCACTGCTTTACTGAAATTATTGATGACATATACTTCAAATGGTATAATATACTCTGCAACAGAAATTACATTGATTAACTAGAAATCTCACATTCCTGACTTTTGGAAATACATATTGAAAAACAAAACAAAACAAAACAAACAAATAAAAACAACAAGAACAAAGAAATGTATCTAACCCAAGGCAGCAGCAGGACAAAAACAAATATAAATCCAAAAGTACATGATCCTCACAGTTGGTCTTAACCCAAACAACAACCTAAAACCATTAAGAACAAGACTTGGAGAGATGTGAAAAAAAATTAATTTTAGGGAGCAAAGGAGTTGGCCCTCTTTCCTCCTCTTTATGGTAGGAAGATGGCTAATATATCTTAGGAACATCCAAAATAGTTGCTAAAAATGTTCTCTATAAAAAACACATTCAATTAACCAGACCTTTCCATTCTATTGCTGTAATCTAGTTAATTACAATTTAAAATGTGCTCTGAAACCTCACTATTTAGCTCACTCTAAGTCAGATACTTGGATCAGAGTAGATTTTCCCAGATTCCACCTAGAAGGAACATGGCCCATTGTATGTAGCCCAGGTCACTAATGCCCTCTTCAATAGCAGTGAGACCCTATCATTACATCATGCTGAGAAGCTGTCATCCAGCAGGACTTGGTGGGGTAGGAGTCACTAGCTTCACAGATTTCTGGTGTAAAGTAAGATTTACATTATGGAGAAGCTTACTAATTTCCTTTCAACATCCTTACCGCTGGGGCCTCCTCAATGATCTTCTGATGTCGTCTCTGCACACTACAGTCTCTTTCAAACAAGTACACTGCATTGCCATGGTGATCTCCAAATACCTGGACTTCTACATGCCTATTTGAAAGCAAACACACACGTACTTTAAGGGTGAAAATATTACATTAATTAACACTGTTGGCCACAGAGACCAGGATTCCTTGATTTTTACTTTCTTTAAGAAAAAGTTAATTTTTGACCTTAGAACAGAGGTTATCGATTTATAAACAGAATTACAATCTCAAGAAAATCAATGAAAAAGTTGCCAATTGCATGATAAACACTTAAGAGAAAATATTTACATATTTTACATATGTAAAAATATTTACATATATGAAATGACTGGCAAATAAGGAAAAGACTAAAAATAGAAGAGATTAAAAATAAGGGTGAATCACAAAATGTACAAATTGTCAAGGAAGAGACTGACAAATTTGGATATGTTAAAAATCACAAACTATTCATATTTCATATGTCTTCAGAAGACCATGGAACCTTTTAATGACTAGCTCTTATGGTCAGAATTTATAAACTATGGAAAACCGAAGTAAAAATGGCTCAACCACAAAAGCTTTAAGAACTAAGTGAAATGATAAATAAATAAGTATAGATCATTAGTATTTTAAGAATATAGTATGGACTGGAAATATAGTTCAGGAGAAGAGCATGTGCTTAGCATGAGCAAGGGCCTGGGTTTAATCTCCATAGCCTTCCCCTGCAACACACACAAAAGCACTTGAATGTTGAGAATAAAATAGTAAAATTAAGATAAATTATATTAAGAGTGAATGTATGCAGTACTTTTGAAAATAAGGTTAAGGCAGGCCATTTGGTGATCAGCAGGTTTGTTTTGACATGCTCATACAAGAGTTCAGCTCACATCTGCATCACCATAATATGGAAATGAGTGGTTGGCAATTTTTTCCCCTCAACTTTTTGAAATAAGAGTTCACAAACATAGGAAAAATTAAGCCAGGAAGTCTTGTAAATGTAGCACAAGTCATTTCTATTCATTTTCGTTCACTTCGTGAAGCACCTCATTTTACCACTTGAAACAATTCATTGTCTTCATATATTATCTTTCGTGAATATTCCATTTTAAAAATTTCCAACTCATCTAATATATTCTCTTGACAAAATACTTGGAGCTAATTAAAAAAAAAATCTTGCTTTGTTAACCATTTTCTCTTCATTTCATTTATCCAGAAGCTAAAATCATCAAACACATTGTTGTTCTTGCTATTATTATTATTAATATTTTTGTGTGGTACTGGGGATGGAACCTAGGGTCTTATGTGTGCTAAGTAGGTGCTCTACAACTGAGCCACATCCCCAGTCCCCTTGCAGTAATCAGTTAGGTCAATTTATTTATTTATTTAATTTTTTTTTTTTAAAGAGAGAGAGAGAGAGAGAGAGAATTTTTAATATTTATTTATTTTTTTTTAGTTCTCGGTGGACACAACATCTTTGTTGGTATGTGGTGCTGAGGATCGAACCCGGGCCGCACGCATGCCAGGCGAGAGCTACCACTTGAGCCACATCCCCAGCCCCAGTTAGATCAATTTAGAATAAGAAAAAAAAAGAGATTTTATCATCACTCACTCCTTTTCTAATTCTCTTCCTTTCTTATGTAGACCTGAGTTTCTGATCTTTATTATTTTCCTTCTCTTTGAAAAGCTTCTATTAACAACTCTTGCAAGGCAGTTCTTCTCACCAGAAATTCCCTCAACTTCAGTTTCTCTTACAAAGACTTTATTCAGCCTTCACATTTAAAGGATGATTTTGCTGGATACAGAAGCTAGGTGGGTTTTCTATTTTTTCTTTTAACACTTCCTATTTCATTCTACTTTCTTCTTGCTTACAAGGTTTTTGATGAGATTGCTTAGCCTTGATCTTTCATAGGTAATGTGCCCCCATCCCCCATAACTTTCTTCTATTTGTTTTTCATTTTCTGAAGTTTGAATATCAAATTTGGTGTCCTCTTCTAAGCTTGCTGGTTCTATAGTTTGGTGTTTGTCATTAATTTTGGAAAATTCTTGGCTGTTATTACTGAAGTAATATCTGAAGATATTTTTCCTGCTCCTCTTTCTCTTTTCCTCGTGATATTCAAACAATATGTTTTACTTTAAAAAACTCTCACAGTTCTTGGATATTTCATTTTTTTTTCATTCTTATTTCTCTTTCCATTTCAGTTTGGGAAGTTTCCATTGATATAAGTTCATGATCACTGATACTTTCCTTGGGTATTCCCAGTCGAGGCTACTAATTAACCCATCAAATGATTGCATTTCTAGGATAGTGTTTTTGATTTCTACCATTAAAAAAATTTTTTTAGCACTTTCATCTGTCTGCTTACCTAATCCATCTGTCTTTGTGTGTGCACACGTGTGTGTATGTATGTGTATGTGTATGTGTGTGTGTGAGTGTGTGTGAATGTGTGAGTATGTAGTACTGGGGATAAAATCCAGGGCCTCATACATACTAGGCAAGCACTCTACCACAGAGCTACAACTCCAGCCCTACCCATCTGTTCTTAAATGTTGTCTGCTTGTTCCATTAAAGCTTTTATATATTAATCAGTTATTTAAAATTCCCTATCTGATCTTTCTAAATTTATGTCATTCCCAGTCTTGTTCTGATGCTTCCTTTGTTTTTTTTCAGACTGAACTTTTTCTGTCCCTTAGCATGTCTTGTAATTTTATTTGTTAAAAGTAGGACATGACAAAATGACCATACTACCCAAAGCTCTATACAGATTTAGTGCAGTTCCAATCAAAATCCCAATGGCATTCCTCATAGCAATAGAAAACACAGTCATGAAATTCATCTGTAAAAATAAGAGACCCAGAATAGCTAAAGCAATCCTTAGCAAGAAGAGTGAAACAGGTGTCATCACTAAAACAGACCTTAAACTATACTACAGAGCAACAGTAACAAAAAGAGTAGGTATTGACACCAAAATAGACTGGTAGATCAATGGTACAGAATAGAGGACACAGAGACTAACCCACATAATTAATATAGTTATATTAGACAAAGGCGCCAAAAACATACATTGGAGAAAAGATAGCTTATTCAACAAATGGTGCTGGAAAACTGAAAATCCATATGTAAAAAAATGAAATTAAACCCCTATCTCTCACTTTGCACAAAACTCAACTCAAACTAGATCAAGGACCTAGGAATTAATCCAGAGACACTGCGTCTAACAGAAGAAAAAGTAGGCCCAAATCTCCATTATGTCAGATTAAGCTCTGACTTCCTTAATAAGACTCCTATAGCGCAAGAATTAAAATCAAGAATCAATAAATGGGATGGACTCAAACTAAAAAGCTTCTTCTCAGAAAACAAAAACAAACAATCAGTGAGGTGAGAGCCTACATCTTAGGAGCAAATTTATACCACTCGCACATCAGATAGAGCACTAATCTCTAGAATATATAAAGAACTCAAAAAAGCTAAACCCCCCAAAA